GTCCATGAGGGCCTTTGGGGACCTGTCAGAGCTGTGTCTGTGGGGGCCTTTGGGGACCTGTTAGAGCTGTGTCTTTGAGGGCCTGTGGGGACCCGGCAGGGCTGTGTCTGTGAGGGCCCGTGGGGACCTGTCAGAGCTCTGTCTGTGAGGGCCTGTGGGGACCTGTCAGAGCTGCGCGTGTGCGAGGGCCTGTGGGGACCTGTCAGAGCTGTGTCTGTAAGTGCCTATGGGGACCCGGCGGGGCTGTGTCTGTGAGGACCTGTGGGGACTCAGCAGGGCTGTGTCTGAGGGCCTGTGGGGACCTGTCAGAGCTGCGTATGTGCAAGGGCCTGTGGGGACCTGTTAGAGCTGCGCGTGTGCGAGGACCTTTGGGGACCTGTCGGAACTGTGTCTGTGAGGCCCTTGTGGAGGATCCGTAAGCACTGTGTCTGCGAGGCCCTTGTGGGAGACCTGTCAGAGCTGTGTGTCTGCAAGGCCCTTGTGGGGGACGCGTCAGCACTGTGTCTGCGAGGTCCTTGTGGGGGACCCGTCAGAGCTGCATGTCTGCGAGGCCCTTGTGGGGGACCTGTCAGCACTGCCTGTCTGCGAGGCCCTTGTCAGGGACCCGTCAGCACTGCATGTCTGCGAGGCCCTTGTGGGGGACCCGTTGGCACTGCTTGTCTGCGAGGCCCTTGTCAGGGACCCGTCAGCGCTGCATGTCTGCGAGGCCCTTGTGGGGGACCCGTCGGCACTGCTTGTCTGCAGGGCTCTTGTGGAGGACCCGTCAACACTGTGTGTCTGTGAGGCCTGCATTGGGGACATGTGGACACGTCACTGCTGCGTGTCTGTGAGGTCAGTTTTCAGGAACGGGGCTGACTCGTATCTCTGGGTTTTGCCTCGTGTCCCCTTGTCCCTTCACAACTCGTTAGCTAGGTACGGTTTATATGTTTTTAAGGGCTTTTGAAAAGAAACAAACAAAAAAACACGCAGCAGAGATCGACTGTGCGACCCACGAAGCCTGAATGTCTTCTCTCCAGCCTTCACAGAAGACATTTGTCAACCCTGGTTTAGCTGTGTTGGCAGTTTTGTGTCTGGCATAAACAAAACAATTTCTGCTTTACGTATGGGGTCTGAGAACTATTGTATCAGCAGGTGCTACTCTGGTATTTGTTTCTGTCACGTGGCTTGTGTGCGGTGTATGATGTTCAGGGAGAGTGTGCAGTCCTGAGAAGCCTTTCCTTCACGCTACTGGTGGTTTCGTGTCCGTCAGTGTGTCGTACAGTGGGGGCTTGCATGTTGCTTTGATGCTGGAAGCTATGCTACCAGCATTCAAATACCACCGGTGTTACCCATGGTAGATAGGTTTCAGCTGAGCTTCCAGACTAAGACAGACTAGGAAGAGGACCTGGTGGTCTACTTCTGAAAAAAATTAGCCAGTAAAAACCTTATGAATAGCAGTGGAACATTGTCTGACACATTGCCAGAAGATGAGCCCCCCAGGTTGGAAGACACTTTAAATACTGGGGAAGTCCACTTTAATGATGTGGATGGAGTCAAGCTTTTGCGACCTTCATTTACTGATGTGGCGTGACTCAAAATAAGAAGAAACAGCTGCAAACATCCATTAATAATTAGAACGTAGAATGTATGAAGTATGAATCTAGGAAAATTGGAAATCATCAAAAATGAAATGGAATGTATAAACATCGATGTCCCGGGCATTAATGAGCTGAAGTGGAATCATATTGGCCGTTTTGAATCGGACAATCATATGGTCTACTATGCTGGGAATGACAGCTTGAAGAATGGTG